TGGGGATTGCTTGAGACCATAAAGTGAACGTTGAAGCTTACAGGCGTGACCAGACTTGGTTTGGGAGAAACCGGGAGGAAAACGCATAAAGACTTCTTCATCCAAATCGCCATGGAGAAAGGCATTTTGAACATCCAGCTGAAAAATGCTCCATTTTCGAGCTACAGCTACAGATAAAAATGTACGCACACTTGTCATTTTAGCCACCGGTGCAAAAGTCTCAGTGTAATCTTCTCCTTCGATCTGATTGTTCCCAGCAATAACCAGACGCGCTTTATAGCGTTCAATGGTTCCATCAGAATTGTACTTGATGCGGTACACCCACTTACATGGAATAGCTTTCTTACCAGAAGGGAGAGGTTGAATTTGCCAAGTATGATTGGCTTCCAATGCATCAATTTCGGCTTGCATGGCTTTCTGCCAATGAGGATATTGCATAGCCTCTTTAAATGATTTGGGTTCCAGGTTACTATCCACGGCGGCAAGAAAAATCTGATGGTGCGAAGAAAATAATGCATTAGAAACATAATGATCAATGGAATATTGAATACCTGAGTCGATTGGAGAAGTGGAGAGACGAGGAAATGGTGTAGTCATTGTGTTGCATACATAATCCTTTAAATGAGATGGGGGACGTCTGGCACGCTGTTCACGAATATCTGCCACAGATGCAGTGTTGGGTTCTGTCAACGGAACCGGTGAACCAGGGACATCCGTGGATGAAGTAATAGAACCCGGAACTGGGGAGGACGAACTCCCCCTGTCATCAAGCTCCGCTGTGGGAGTATCAATAGCAGTAACAGGTGCCACATCATAATCGGTGAAGACAGCTTGTGGTGACGGTACATGGACAGAAGGTGCAGATGAAGTTGCAGCCAATGGAAAAATAGTTTCATGAAATAAAACATCACGAGAAACAAATATTTCATGAGTGGAGATATCCATGACCTTCCATCCTTTTTTGTTGAAAGGGTAGCCAACAAACACACACTTACGGGAGCGAGGAGCGAACTTGTCATGTGGTTTGGGTAAAACAGTAGTGTAACATAAACTCCCAAAGACCCGTAAGTGATCATACTTTGGTGGAGTGCCATGCAAAACTTCATAGGGACACTGACCACCAAGGAGTGGAGTCGGTGTCCTGTTGATGAGGTGAGCAGCGGTCAAGATGCATTCTCCCCAAAGAGATATAGGTAAGTGACCATCAAAACGCAAAGCACGAGCCACGTTGAGGATGTGACGATGACGACGTTCAACGCGTCCATTTTGCTGTGGGGTGTAAGTGCATGATAATTGATGATGAATACCGTAGGATGAGAGAGCCTCTTGGACTACAGATGACAAAAATTCAGTCCCATTATCACTCTGAATTCGCTTAACAGATGCATCATATTGGGTGCGAACCAAGTGGAGAAACCGAAGTAAACATGTGGAAGTTTCAGTTTTATTGCGCATCAAAAAAATCCAAACATGTCTACTAAAATCATCGACTACAGTTAAAAAATAGCGGGCACCAGTTGTAGATGCCATATGATATGGCCCCCATATATCACAGTGAAGTAAATCAAAAGGATGTAAACAACGTTTATTATTAATAGGAAAAGGACTTCGTGGTTGTTTGGCTTTACAACAAACGTCACAAGGAGCCAAATTATTTGCATTGGAAATAAAAGGTAACAAAGATAAATAACGGGAAGATGGATGTCCTAGACGACGATGCCATAGTGCTGCAGAATCTGACGTACTGGCAACATGAGCAGAAGCTGATGATGCACACAATATATACACCCCTTCTCGTTCAACACCCGTTCCAATCGTCCTCTTCTGCTTTAGGTCCTGTATCAAACAAACAGAATTAACAAACAATGCCAAGCAAGACTGGCGCAGAAGCTGAGATACAGAAATCAAATTACAAGCCAACGAAGGGACATAAAGAACATTGGAGAGATGAAGAGAAGAGCCCAAATTAATGCTGCCACATTGCGTAGCAATATCATGAACTCCATTCGGCAGTCCCACAGAACAAGGAGAAATAGAATGCACATTGGATAGATAGGAGAGTGTGCCCGTCATGTGTTGGGATGCACCACTGTCGATGATCCAAGATGGGTGTAAAATCTTACCCGTAAGTTTATCAACTGGAGGGGCAGAAGAGACAGCCAAGGACATGAGATGTTGTAGAACTTCTGGTGTAAAATCTGCCATGGAGATGGATGCTGATGACGGCTCAGAAGGAACCGAAGGCAGAGAAGTATGAGCAGCCCGAGCAGATTGTGGGTGAGATCGTGCAGTGGATGAACGACCACGACCACGGCTTCGTCCAGGAGGAGGGCTGCGTCCAGGAGTGGGGCGATCTGGGTAACCAATCAGCTGATAACATCTTGTTATGTCATGATAAGGTTTGCCACAGTAAGTGCATGTGACTTTAGGTTTGGAAGAATCTCCTAGTTCTTTGGAGACAGTACCAGGCGTTGCATATCCCATTGCATCAGAAGGAGAATCCTGAGATCGGACCAATGCCTTGTGCGTTTCCTCTTGAGCTACCATAGAGAACACCCGATTGATACTTGGGAGTGGAGTGGTATTGAGGATTTGGGTAATAAGACTACCATAAGTAGTGTGATCCAGACCCATAAGGAACTGATAAATACGATTGTTGTCATCCTCAGTAGTAACAGATTTAGAAAAAGCACAGTCAGCACCAGTGGAACAAGCTGTGAGGGATCGATTAGACTCCAGTTCATCCCAAATAGAACGAAGCTTGGTATAATAATCTATAACAGAAGTACCATTCTGTCTGATGGAGGAAAGTGTAGCCTTCAAGTGGAAGACACGTGGGACATTTGCAACAGAGAAACGCTCGCTGAGATCATCCCAGAGACCTTTTGCAGTTTCAAAACACTTGATAAAAGGTTGAAGTTGGGGATCAATAGTATTATGCAGCCAACTATTGATCATGGAGTTACAAAGAACCCATGCATAAGCTTCGTCCGATGTTGTATCAGTAGGAGCAACAATAGTGCCATCAATAAAACCAAGTTTATTTTTGGCTCGGAGAGCATTTTTTAGAAGCTTAGCCCAATTTTCATAATTGGATTGTCCACGGAGGATGACCGTGGTGAGAACAGCACCAGGATTGTCGGATGGGTGCAGGTAAAAGGGTGACTTAGAATCAGAAACCTTGAAGGTTTTAGGTGCGGAAGTCATGATGAAAAAAAAAAATGAAGGCTTGTTGATCGTCAAGCTCTTGATACCATAACAGAAGTTGCTGTCATTCGCAGCTTGATGATATATTAAATTGGGTCTATTATATAGACCAAGATTTACAATTGGTTACATCAGGAAATCGGCTAAACTTAAGGAACAGAAAGCATAAATCAAGCTAATCTATTTACATCAGGAAATCAGCTAAACTTAAGGAACAGAAAGCATAAATCAAGCTAATCTATTTTAATATACAAGGTAACAAACCGTGATAGTTACAATCAGGATCCTAACAAATTAATGCTACTCTAATAAAAAGGATTGATTTACTTGTGTTGCTTATGGCTGATCATTGTAGGCTCATTCCTTGTACTTGATTTAGCTCGAAAATTTGGATTCAAACAGGTTTGGTTCGGTGACTTGATTTTGATATTTTCTTTTTTGATGTAGTTTATATACGGAGTCTCGTTCAGAAATCTTAGGTTCATTTTTTCCACACTTACCTCGAGGGAAATAATCGGACATATTAATTTTGCCACCCACACTTATATATCTAGGAAAATAATTGTATTATGTTGTAGGAAATTGGTTGTGTTATGCTATAAACACAATCAATGTTGATTCCACTATTTTCTTTTCTTTTCTTTTTATTTTAAAAGTGGTGAAGTCCACATTGATTATGTCTATAGCTTGACACAACTAATTTCCTACCACATGATACAATTATTTTCCATATATCTATATATACGATTGGTTCATACTTTCTTTCAGTCTATTGGCTGTGGTGGTATTTGTAGGTGTTAGTTTTGTGAATTTTTTTATTTTTAAAAAAATAAGGGAATTGAGAAGCAAATATTTCTGACTACGCGATCATATTAAGTTGGATAAGGTTTTAGTAAATCAAATATATATTCTAATTGAAGAAATCTTAGTAGGTTAACCCCAGTTCAGACACTTATATTGACTTGGAATTGTCGTTCAGCTTCTTATAAAACTTCAATTGGAAATGAATATATTGAACAAGTAAAATTCAATAAATATTGTTGTCAATATATAGTTTCCATTCTCATAATTTGATTAATCATATATAAAAATACTCCAAAATTTAAAGCAAATAAAAGATATTATTAATGATTTGCTTCATTTCTTAGTCAGAGGCTCAAGAATCTAAAGATTGAAGAAGCCCCGTATGGCCTGGGAAAAAATATATTATTTTATTCTTTAATATTTAGGCTGCAGTTAATATTATATTATTCTTTTGGTAAATAGTGAACGTAATATTTTATTAGTAAGCTAAGATTAAAACTAGTTATATCAATGCTCTTAAGTCTTATCCGTTTTGATTCCTATAATATCATTTTAATTTAATTTAATTTTTCAAAAATCATTAGTAACGAAAATAATGAAACTTAAAGCAAACAATCATTTTAATTATAGAACATATAAATCTAATTAATTTAGCATACTAACAATAAATGTATGGAAATTAATTATCATTCAATATCAATCATTAACATAGAAATGATCTTTCAATATTATATTTGACATCAAATTTGGTAATGTCCCTCAACCAAAATGATATTGAATGAATATTTTAACATAATTGTTATTGGAGAGCCAGATTACTAATTTTTGCATCTTCGAAGTTCAACCAAAATGTGTTTACTCGTATAGTCCATGCATTGCACCTAGACAAATAGTTACGATATTTATTTGATTCACTATACCTTTGTAACTTTCCAAGATTAGATCAACATACGTACACTCACATACTATATTTGGCATGAAAAGACATTTTTCACCTATATAAACATCCTCTGTATGCTGGTGTCCAGTAATCTGGTCCAGTGTTCTCTCTGTAAACTAGAGGGGTACATGAAGTGGGAACTAAACAAAGACCTCTGCTCCTAAGGTCTAGCTTTCCGTCCTCATTATCTTTTTTATCCAAGCTTCCCCATGGATCCTGGATTCAATCCCAAGAAAACAATGCCAATAGGTTAATTATTGCTAATAAGAGTGAAAATTTGAGAGACTTTTAAAAGAAATGGAGAACTTTATTTTTCTACCTTGTGCAAATTGGTCTTCAAGTAAGGGTTGCTCAGTAGCTGCAAAATATGTATGAATGTAAGTGTAAACTAAGCTAAAGGAATAGAAGTTGCACTTAAGTTAAAGGAATTAAGCTAAGCAAGAAGAAAATTCAACTCTAGTATATATTAAATAGTTATAGTCAAGAAGGATAATTGTATTAATTAGTTATAGTTAATTTTTTTTAGTGTTTAAAACTGCATCTTTTTTTCAAGTTGAATACATGTGAGATATATGTTACTCAAGATTAACCAAGGGAACACCCAGTGATTAAGCATTAATGTCTAATATGGTGGTCTTTGGTTTATTTACCAACAACCATTAGTAGTTCTAAGTAATAAGGAGCTTCTTTAATTTATCTATAATGGATTCGACATTACTCGAATCAGATTAATCGGGTAATCAATATTGATGAATATATATATATATATATATATATGGTTTACTCTAAAGTAAGACTTAAAAGTCTTATTCTTTATTTTAGTTGTTGATGGATGAAAATCAATAGTTATTATTTGTAGTGTAATTAATAATTAATTAATTAGTATGACTTCCTAAACTATAATCGTTAGATGTGCGAAAATCAACGGTTAAGAGGAAGATTAAGACTTGTATATATCACATATTGCATGATGCTCATGAGATCAAGGAAAATGTGCTATCGCTCAATGTAACATTTTTTATTCATTTTAAGAAGGAATTTATATGCAAGAAGTCTAGCTAGTTATATTCGTTGGCATTAAAAATAAAAAAGAAGAAGGTAAGCAACAACAATAATTGTGTATTATATATATAGTTGCATAATGCAGGGAAAGTAAACTTTTCCATAATGATACCCACCTGGACTTGTTCTTGAAGAAACTTTATGTACCCAATTGCTTCAAACAGCACCGATGCTGTATCTGTCTGAAATTCAACAAAAAATTTGATCATTATGTAGTAGGTAGTGAGAAAAGTAGAGCACTGTGAATTATTTAGTGCATATATATATAAAGGAGAGAAAAAGGAGAAAAGGGAGGGAGGGTTTAGTGCAATCTGTAGTAACCTTTCCAAATGGAGACACAATTTGCTGAAGGGCTGTGATCTTGTCCCCTAGCTTGACTTTAGGTGCCTGCACCTTTTAAACAATAAATAGAAGTTTCTTAACACTGCACAAAAGTAGGTTTCCCACTTTCTTGCTTTTCTTTACACTCATAAGTTCATGTATGTTGGTCTTTTATATTTGTACCTTTGAAGAAGAAGCTGTTGATGTATCTTGCTTAGACTTCTTCAAGTTTGCTTCAGAAGATTCTTCAGATCTTTTCTTCTTTACTTCACGTGTTGTCCCCTCTCCTCTTCCATTATTATTACTTCTTATCTGCACATTGCATCCATTTAATAAACAAAATTATGTTAAAAGCATGGTTAATTATTTCCTTGAATTTTTTAAGAGCAAAGAGGCTGTAATAAACCATATAATTAATTGGTTTGTAAACTAACCGGTGGTGATGGTGTCTGAAGACCCTGCTTCTTTGATTCAGATAAGTTTAAGTATTTCATACTAGGCTTCTGTGCATGGATTCCAATAACTGGCCTTCCTAACCTACTCTTAAACGATATAACATCTGAGAAATTTCTTGTGCATGAAGAAATATTGGGAAACCCATGGTAAAGTTTACCACTGTCTCCAACTGAAAGGCTATTAAATCCATTTGCATTAAATGGTTTTCCAAATATAGCTCCTGGCACTTCACTTGCATGATGATATTCTTGCTTGACCTTCATGCCCTGATCATAGCAAGTGAAAACTGGAGAGTTTCTACTTGCTCCGCCAACAGAGGCTGATATGGAATCTCCGAAAGGTTGTTTGAAATGACAAGGCTCAGATTGTGGGTAATGATCCATGGAGGAACTCAAAGACATGTTGTTTGTTTGTGGATCAAAGTGGCAACTAACTTCAGGGTCTGGTGGGGCAATAGACCAAGTGCTTACAAGATTAGACAACTTAGTCAACCTTTCATTATTCTCAATCATTGCCTCACTAAACCCATTTAAATGCTTCTCAAAACTATTGAATGAAGTTGAACCATTATATTCCCAGCTAGTATCAAGTTTCTTCAGGTAGTCACAGGCTGGTTCAAACATAGCACTTGTCAAGCTTTTAGATGACAGTGCATCCAGATAGGTCTCTCCAATTTCTTGGCTATTGTGCAACTCGCCATTTGATCCAACATCTCTATTAATTAATTCTATAAAATGTTAGTTGTAATTAAACTAAATGAAAAATATATCAAATCAACCTTAATATTCCATGTACAAACAAAAAGTCAATTCAAATGCATACAAGATTTGTTTCAGATTCAAAGATAATAAAACACGTGTTAAAGTTATATAACTTACAGTGTCCAATAAGGGTTTAATTTATTGGTGTGGATGAATATACAAGATAATTAACTACGAAAATCGAAGAGGTCTTATTAGTTTTACAGTATGAACACACTGACAAATTTGTTGACTTGAGTAATACACATAGCAGCCGTTGGATAGTGGAAAGCAAAAGCCTAGAAGATTATTTGCTCAATGAAAAAATAACATAGTGCCACCCTATTATCAGTTCCTATATATACCTTAAAACACCCTTAAATTTAACCCATTTTCTAACCTTAAGATTATTCTAGTATCTCTACTTATCTCTGTCTATGATATAGCAATAAACAATATCGAAGATAATCATTTATAAAATTCTATATATTCTTATTCATATAAGCTATTTATTTGTATATTTTTGTAAAATCATTACTAATTAACATAGAAACTTACGATAGAACATGACTCCAAAGTTGATTATCAGAAGCATGTTCACCCATCAACACCTTGGAGGAAGTTGCATGTGGCTCAACGAGTCTTCGAGAGGACTCAACTGTGAGGCTTGAATGGCTTGAGGCATTAGTGAAAGATGTAGAAACAGATATATCCTCCTCACAAGAAGAGGAAGAATTAGGGTTTGTTTGGTTGTTCCATGCGTGATTAGTATCGTTCCAGGAAGGAAGAGAATTTGCCTGGAGATACCACCAATTTAATGGGGTAGAAGAGGTTGCAATTGTATTTCCAACACATTCTTCAGCCATCTCTCTCTCTCTCTCTCTCTCTCTCTCTCTCTATTTTTCCTTCTTGCTCTCCGTTTTATTGGTGGAATGAACCTAGCTAGGGTTAAATATACAAATCTCTCTTTGTTTCTTTGTTGTTGCGGGTGGGAATTTATGGAGGGGATTGCTCCATTTTCAGTGACGTATAAGTTTGTAGGTTATATCAATTATAGGGGAGACAATAAAATATGCAACCTGAGTTTTTCCACTAACGTTCGTGGGTAATTATTATATCAGGGTGATGGGCCAGCATGAGTTTGGCTTAAGGTTGCTAATGTTGATGGATGAGTACGTGGTTTTTAGAGTTGCTAGTTTTTATTACTTAATTACACAATTTGTTTTTTACACAATTCTTATGTTACTTATTTTGTAAATAAACAAAACAAAAAAAATACACTTTTTTCCATTTATTTTTTTCAATCAAATATTGTGTCAAATAAGCCACTTTATATTGTGCACTTCCTTTCTTGTCTCCAACTAAAAAACCACAAAAGAAAAAAACTACTTGGGTGTAGGGATGAGGATTCTCTATGGTTAAAGAATGGTATGTAGAATTTACAAAAAAAAAAAACAAAAAAAAAGAATGGTATGTAGAAAATAAAATTTATCATTAATTTCTTTTACATGTAATAAAATATTTTTAAGTGATGGGATCACTTCAGAACTGTATATAATCCTCATCCCGACCATAGTGTAGTTGATTAATTAATGTGGGGTAGAATTTAGGTAGAGTACATTATGATTTTTTTTCAGTATATAGTAAAATAAAAGAGATACTTGGTGTCAATATGATGGACAGTTCAGTTTTATCCACACTCTGCAGGAATAGTAGAAGTGTGCTCTGATTGATTAGCGAACCATAGTTAGGCCATCCAGAGTTGTGGAATCCAGGTTTTGCCTCATCCTCGTAAAGGTCTTGAACCTTTGACTTTTGTTGATGCTATGGGAGCTGCTTTGTCCCGACATGTAGAGGATGTTTAGTTTATTTTCTATTTTTTATTTTAATTGATATTTTTTATTTATAATTAACGCATATTTTTAGCAAAAATGTCATGTTTTCAATACTTACCAAATAAAATGGTTCAAGAATAAAAAAACAATATATAAGGAATTAAAATAAATCATGATAAGCATATTAACAAATAAAAACATCAAATTTTGTTGTATGCAACTTCGGTTGAGTTCATCGTCGTAACAATCTTCCATTTCACCCTAGCCTTCTCATAACATTTTTGAGTTCTATGAATTATGTTTTTTTTTTTTTTCAAAATTATTTGATTAGTCCGATCCAAACAAATGTCAATTAATCCATGTTGGAAGCAACTCTCCCAAAATCATCTTTTTCATTCCGAACAACAAGTTTTGTATCACTTGAACTTATGATTACTGGTGAATTATAAGCTTTCCATGTCAGAGGCTGTTCAAAACTTGAATCCCTGGCAAAAAAAATTAGCGGTTTCTTGAGGTATTTTGTAATTATACACCACATATTTCGCGGAGATTTGTGTTTTTATGTCTTTGGTCAACATAAGTTATAAATTAGAATTTATAATTTTTTGTCATTTAATTATTAAGAAATTAATAAAGTAAAACGGTATATCAATATATTAAACCATTTAATTTTACAGGAAATGTTGTACTTTAAACTATGTCCAGTCAAATTATACCCATGAATTGTATAAATAGATATTATCTATATAGGTTAAAAAGGTATCATGTATATTTACCAAAAAAAAAAGGTATCATGTACCAAAAAAAAAAAAAAAAAAGAATATCATGCCTAAGTTCATATCAAGAATAAGGAAGTGGCATACATGAAACGGTATAAATATATATTTCATAGCAGAGTTTGCTTCGAGCATTGAATCATCGGTTCAATCTTTGAAATATTCTCTAAGATTACAGAGAAAATCTTTATGCTCTAAGTTTGGGGAGGCAATTAATATAACACTACCCCACGACAGATATATATTATTAATAGGTAAATTAAGATACAAAATATTAATTAGTAGATCTGTATGATATATTAATAATAGATATATACCATATATAAATGTCGGATATGCTCTGCCAATAATTTGAAGGAGCCCATATCTTAGTGGTTCTTGATTTCTTCATTACCAACTTCAAATCTGTCGGCTTACTAGTTTTGTCATTATTCTCAATTGAACTTTTTCTAAATATAAAAATTATTAAAAGGCGAGATTATATTAATGATTTTTATATTTCTCTGATATTTTTTTACCCGTTTCATAACATGTTTATATATTATTTGATTTTTATTTTAACCTATTCATCAATTATTAATTTATTTAATTCAAATAGAGTGGAGCCACAAACGTGTTAAAATTCTCTCCAATTTTTTTTATTACCGTTATGTATTCAGATATTTTAACTTCTACTACCTAGCCTCTTCAACTAATTGCCTCTATATATATATATATATATATATATATATATATAAAAAAACACTTGTCGTCTAAAGCTTTTAAATGTTTAATATTTTTTATGTTGTAGAAAATACAATTATTTTCTATATACATAAAAATTTGTGAGATCTATGAAGATTCCTATAAAGAAAAAAAAAATAAACCTTACATAGTTTTCTCATATTATAAAGATAATTTTATCTTTTATAATAAGAGAAATTAATTAAACCCATCTTTTAATCTATCTACTTCTATTAAACCCATCTTTTAATCCTTTCTACTTCTCGAAACTTGTGAGCTTCACACAAGAAATCCCTGCTATCCTAGTTTGGAGCATACCTTATCTTTGAACTTTCTAATGGACTAATAAAGACGATTTTATTATTACCAAAAAAAAAAAAAGACGATTTTACAAAAATAAAATAAAAAATGGACTAATAAAGACAGAACAACTTCGTTTGGCCAAAGTTAATTGGTAAGGTTAGAAGTTTTCAAAATTAAACTTATTATAGTTTTGAATCGAGTTAAAGTTATGCTTTAAGTTATTTTCACATTTGGTCTGATGTTTCATAATATTAAATTATAATTTGTATTTAAATTATAACTTTATATATTATGGTAATATTTTATTACTGATATATTTTATTTAAAAAATACCTTAAATTTAATTTATAATTTTAATACTTTATAATTTAGCTATACGTAATATTTAATTTTAAATAATTTATCCAAATATCATTATTAATTAAGTCATGAGCACTCTTAGGACCCCGAAGAGTTAATGGGCTCGTCTCGTAACCCTATTTTCCTTGTTTAAATTATTATAAGGAGGAGAATCTAATCAATACATTTGATCAAATGTATCAACTATCAAACATAACTAACGTTAACCGAAAGTAAAAAGAAAGAAAGTAAAAAGAAAGAAAATAAAAAAAACATTCATTAAAAGAACAAAATAAATTAAGTGACCAGTTAGGGTACAAATGTTATGGGGACCACCATCCACTCACTTCAACACCGATAAGCTCTAAAGCCATCATCAAAGTTTCTCACATCTTTTGGACTTATATACAAATACTCCATGTTTGACGAGATGATAAGACCTAAAGCCAAGTTCCACAATTCAACCCAACTTAGGCCGCGAGGTTCAGGCCCCTAAAAGCTTGGCATAGGCAAGTTATCTAAGCTTTGTTGTATTCTGTAATAATTTTCAACATGACTCGAATATAATATAAATTTTGTATGTATATTTGTGTCAAGTTATATTTCTATTTGCATTATGATTATGTCGATAAAAAATTAACCCAAAAATAATTATGCTATATTTGTGTTTCGCGATAACTTGAATATAATATGGATTTTTTATATTTATGACAACTTGTATTCGTGTTATTATGTTCATGCCAATCAAAAATTGACTCAGAAAAAAATTATGCGTGTTTGTGTTAATAATATTCGTATTTCTTTGTGCTTGGGTAAATTCGTTTAAATTAAATAATTATATAGTTATATATCGACCACAATTTATTCTATTTTTATCTATTATTTTGAAATTATTTAAATAATTTTTATTCAAAAAGTAAAATTAACAAATTATGTATATGATATCAATCTGTGTAATAAATCGATTGATATTTGTTTATGGGATTTACTAATCTCATATTACATGAGATAGTATTCTTATGTGAAAGAGACAAATATATAAAGTTCATAACATAAAAAAAAGGCACAAAATTTTAGGAATATATAATATAAGATAATTTTTTTATGCGACATTTTTTTATACAGAGGGTTTAGACAAAACAAATATTTGTATTGAGGATATTAGTATGGAATTTACTAGTGTCCTGTAACAGTAAACTCGGTACATCATGTCATCACAGACACATCAATTATGAGATCAATTGTTTTTTTAATAAAATAAAAACTGAAAAAATAACTTCACACTAATCGAAGGGTGGAAGGAAGCTAAAAATCCTATAACATGATACTTGATAATCCCTATTAGTATTGCTGTGTACCCAAAACACAATTATGAACTCGAAGTACCACCCCGCTCGTACCTCTTTAGAGCATACCTATCTGTCTCCAATCCATTTTATTCAATCCCAAACGACCTCTTTACTTACTTGCTGACTTTAACCGCTACTTCCAGCAAACATGTTACTTCAAGGGAACCGATCATTTTTCCCTTCTACATCTGACACCATATACAGCCTCATTGGGAAGCAAAGACACTACAGATTTTATTTATATTTTTTAATGATGGGATGTCAGATAAGAAAATCATGCATATGACTTACGGATAATATTATTTTATAACAAGTTTATAGTCTCTTATGAAGAATAAGTACTCCTCAGTTCTTCTTATTATTTTTAGTTTGGCTCATCATAAAAATAGAAACAAGATTTTTAGAATATACACATTACAAAGTCCATAGTAAATGAAACATTATTAATCTTAATAATTTAACTCATATAAAATTACTTCAATAACTTATAATACATAATATATAAACACGTAATTACGTCCTTCTCTATGTTTTATTCTAT